CTGCTAAAAGCAAGACTAAACTCAAGCTCTGCTAGGCGAGCTTTCGTGACTTACGGAACCCCTGAAGGATCCCTTAAAGTAGCCTATAACGGAAGCCTTTAAAGAAGCCCTTAACGGAAGCCAAGGTGCATGGCGGCCGATGGCAATTCGCTCGTCCTCCCCAGAGGCGGGATCATCAGGATCCCGGGCGGCCTGATCCTGCACCGAACGCTTTCTTGGTTTTTTGCGGGCCTTAAACCCTAAACCCCTAAACCCTAAACCCTAAACCCTAAACCCTAAACCCTAAACCCTAAACCCTAAACCTTAAACCCCAAACCCTAAACCGTTCGTCGTCGAAAACTCCCGTACCGGAAGGAGCGTGTGTGTCGATTGGGGACTTCGGAGGCTTAGAGACCCATGCCCCCCACTAGTCCAAACTGACTCGGTTTAGGGTTTAGGGTTTAGGGTTTAGGGTTTAGGGTTTAGGGTTTACTCTGTAATGATCTCAAAGTGAACCCCCTAAACCCCAACCGCCGAGGGTACAGCAGAGGGCTTGATCCGGATGTGTAGGGGTTAAGGGTTGCGGAGTTTGAGGTGTATAGTCAAGGGTATGAGCCACCAAGAATATATATTGGTGGTCATGACAATAAGTACCTTCAAAAGCCGTAACAGTACCGTTAAAACTTGTTGGAAGCCTCCAACAGATGACCGGCAAATATCGGAATCGTGTCCTCCGCCTCCTCCTGATCTCGCATGAGCTTGTTCCGGTGGTCAACCAGAGCGTGCAGCAGAGATCGCAGCTCACGCACCACCTGCACATGGAGGTCATGACTCAAAAAAATTATGGCAATCCCATACCAATCCCAAATCGCCTAAACCCCCGCATTATCAGTGTTGACTACTTCTGGTCATTGAATGTGAACATACACACATACCATATGTACTATCGTATTCCCAAAAATGGCCACACAAGCCTGGAGGTTGCCTGGTTGCCTACCCTAAACCCTAAACCCTAAACTCTAAACCCTAAACCGAACCGATGCTTACTATAAAGCCGAGGAGACGACCTCAGGCCATGTCGCCCTATCTATTTGCCTGTCCATCCATCGATCTGTCATCTGTCTATCTGCCTATGTATCCATATATCCCTCTCCCTCTCTCTCTCTCTCTCCCTCTCTCTCTCTGTCTATCTCTCTCTCTCTCTCTCCCCGTATAAATTGTTTGTTAATGTCTCTTCATGCTTGTACATTAATGTATGTATTTCGACATTCACCTATCAGTCTGTATTTATACAGTTTATTCATCAATGTTGTTTTTACAATTAGTGTTGTCATTGTTGTTTACTAGTTTCCTTACCCAGGTAATAATACTAACGTTATTCGCGACCTCCAGCCGCAACTCCGCGTTATCGGCATCGAGTGCAGATGTGAGATCTTGACATCGGGAGGTGGTGTGCCTCAGCCAGCGTTTGCAGTGTGGAACTTGGGGTACCCTAAACCCCTAAACCCCAATACCTAAACCCTAAACAATAAACTCCTGAACCTAAACCCTAAACCCCTAAACCCAACACCCTTAAACCCTAGACCCTACACATATCTGCGAAATTGTAGCTTGAAGCTTCATAGGCTGAGGGGTTTGATTTCGGGTGCAGGGCACGCCTTTACGGCCGAAGCATCTATTTCCAAGGGAGCCTTCTGTAGGTTCTCTGTGCCCATTATAAACATAAGCCCCAAAATCCAGGAGGCTTCGGGTTCGGCGGTTGTTGGAGCTTACGAAAAAGCTAGAAGGTCAAAGCGTTGTCAACGGCATGGCCTGCTCCTGCAAGCAGGTTTGGGGTTTAGGGTTTAGGGCCATTGAGTGGCTCTGCAAGAATACTGTTCCTGCACCGACCCCTGGGAAAACATGAGATACAGCATAAACGTGGACCCCGAAGTAGCTATAGCAAGTACCTAGCCCCGCCAAAAAAAGTCGATACCACAATGGCCCAACACCTATAAAAGGTGTTCATTCTACATCGTTTTGGGTGTTCCTGGTACTGTACGTACATGGACCTCAATATAGTGCGGCACCCAGGTTCTGTACAGGTAATGTAGGGGCCTTGATAATTAGAATAGGGCTTGGCGCCCATTCTACTATAATTACTCTAAGGAACCCCCGAAATAGTTTAGGTAATTAATGAAGCCCCTACATTTCCTTTTCGGGATTTGCTACTATAGATCATTATTTAGGCTTCTATGTTCCTTGGAGCCGGGAGGTCGGTCTTTCCGCCTGCAAAAGGGGGTTCGTTGAAGGGCCAGCAGGGCTCAGGCGTCGGCAGGAACTCAAGGGCTACAATAGGCTCAGAACGCTTTCTGGGTTTAGGGTTTAGGCTTGGGGTGTAGGATTCTGGGTTCAAAATTCCAGGGCTTGGGGTTTAAGGTTTGGGGTTCAGGGTCGGGTGTTTAGAGTGTAGACAGGAGCCCCCGAACATACACTGTTAAGAAGCTCGTGAGGGAACTGAGGCTATACAATGTTAGAGATGTAGGGTTTAGTCGCTTCCGCTTTAACGCTGAACCCTGCACCCTCAACTAACTCCAAACCCCCTTAACCTCTGTGACCCCAAACCCTACAAAATAGTAGGCTATGACCCCTAAAAGAGAGGTTAGAATCCATACCACGGTCGGTTTTTGGATCCCCAGGAGACCCACGCCTCCGACCCCTCGACCTTTGCCAAAGCTGCTGGAGCAGGGCCCTGCTAATTGCCTGGCTGTGCACCCCGCCCGTTTCTGCCTGGGCAGAGGGTAGGGTTTAGGCTGTGGGGGATAGGGTAAAAGGCCGACGATAATGTTGTTGACTCCGGATTCATAGCCCGCTGCCTTGACATGCCTAATATTGGCATCCGTAGAAAGAATCCCTGTTAAGGAGACCACGTTTCTCAAGTGCCCTGATATTGCGATTTCCATGATCTCTTTGAAGGTAGGAGGATTCGATCATCAGGGGTCTACATTACGGTTTGTCTTTCAGGTGTGGCTCCATCTTCCTAATCTTCCCTACAGATCCGAACCTACGGCTCAGGATCAATTGTATTGCAGAGCTCAAGCTTGAGGGGTGCGGGTGGGGTATAAGGGTTCAGAGTATTAGGGTGTCAGGTTTGTACAATTGGGTTTACAATTATAATACCGTATATTATATATATATATATAGATGACTGTATCCATAATCTTCCATATATGTATATACTCACAGGGTATATACATATATATATATATTATATAGTACATGTGTATATATCTGTAGATACATACTAGCATAATTACATTCATAAGCTTTCGGCCAATCTTAGACCTTATATGCTCTAGGCTGCAGGCGGCTGACTTGGATCATACAGGGGTCAACAGATGTTGATGGTTCAGGGTTTAGGGTTTAGGGCAGCTTTGCTTCAAGTTTTGCAGCCCTACCGTAGAAGGCTCCAGGCAGCCTATGTCGCGAACCCCATCAACCCCACAGAGCCCTTGCAGACCCGACTCGCATGCACCGCGAAACCATGAACCCGTACCCTACACCCCAGGTGAGGCTTAAGCAGCCGAGGCTTTCGGCTTTGGCCCTTTGTTTGCTACGTCTCCGCTGGGCAGCCAAAGCCGAAGCACTACTAGCAACAAGCAGAAACCGACGAAACAGGGTCATAGCAATCGAAACTACGAATAATCACGTGTACTCACGATGTGCTTCTTTTGGCTGGAGGAGCCACAAAACAGGCAATAAGTACAGCATGGCACTGCAAGGTACGGATACGGGATCCATGGGGCACACAAGCTCCAGACCAATGCCATTTTTCACAATTCCCATTCTCTCTATGCAGAAATCCTCATGGGCTTAACCGCCCAAGTAAGCTCCTGCATAATCTGCGTGCTCAAAGCAAGGCCTCATCCAACGCTCGAACGAAGTCGATGCATCGTCGCCGCTCTGCCCGGTTCGGTGAAAACATGGCCAACACCTCGCCCGCAGGAGGTACCGTGAAGGGGCCTCATAACTAGAAAAAACTAAGACTTTTTGTTGAGGAGGGTCTACGTATAACTGAACCAAAACCAAAACATGAAAGTGGAAGAGGACGTGGCGAGCCAATAATCAGAACTTCATATTACGCAGAATTTTCTCCCGATTCCAACATTGCCAAGCTCAATACCTCGTTGTGTATCCGTAATGCGCTTCTTGCATACGGATAACAACCGTCTCTCGACAAACGATAGCTGTTAGTTGCTACCCTGCCAATTTGTTGATATTGTGCTACACGGAAAAAGAGGGAACACCACACCACCAATGACCCAACAAATTGCGAGCTCATCTTTGCGCACATGAGTATGCGAACATCTGGCATCAAGACGATGTTGATACTGGCGATGATGATGTTGATGATAATTGAAAAAGTGAAGACGGCCATAATGAACTTGACTGCGATTATCGTGTTGAAGAAGAAGATGATGGCGATGATGTTCCTGCTGAGGATGCTGGCAGCCAGTCTTATTTGGCCAGACTCATCACTAACACGAATTCCGTTTTGGGGTATACTGAGTATACTGTAGTACATAATCACACAGGGATGGAAGAAGAGACATAATGTAGGAGCCTTAATAATTAGAATGGGGTCTTGGGGGATATTATACTATAATTAAAATAATTCATTGGTGATAACGTAGGTGCCGTACTAATCACCCATACTATTTTGGGGGTTCCTTTTTAAATCATTAGCCCCCAAAATAGTATAGGTGATTATGTAAGGCCCCTACATTATCACCAATGAACTTCGAACTCGGTTCGGATGCCTCGTTGGCACCCCTCTGGGCACGTACGTCAGCCTTGCCGGCGATAAGCGTCTGCACCACCTTCAGGGCTTAGGGTTTTGGGGTTTAGGTTTGAGCGTTTAGGGGGATGCAGCTGCTCGAAGAATCAGGGGACTGTGTCAGTGCGGATATGCGTACCTTCGTCAGCTAGATGTTCCCTCAACCCTAACCCCGATTAAAGTACGTTACTGTAGATAGCTAGGGTGATAAGTTTACCCTAAGCCCCAAACCCTCTGATCCTTCATAACCCTATACGTACTAGGTCCCAAGACCCCTTAAAGCGGAGCAGCCAAGGATCCTAGGATCGTCACATCCGGGGTCCTCTGAAATTAGGCTCCAGGGTTTGTAGTTTCGGGATGAAGTTCGAGGCGTGAAGCCATAAAAACCCAAAGGCCCCAGGTTTAGGGTTTAGGGTTTAGGGCCCTAAACAATAAACCCCAAAAGTCATAAACTCAGGCTTGAAAGTTGAAAGATCATAGGCGCAAGCTCGAGTAACCTGGAAGGGCATCCTTACGATCCTTGCTTAACACGGCCCGTCTCCGGGCATGTGTGTGTGTGTGTAATTGAGGTTTTGGTGGCTAACTTTTGCTGTGGCAGATAGCGACAGCTGGGAGTTTGATTGCATTGAAGCAGCGATTCGGTTGGGGACGAGTGTGTGGGAGCATCGGACTGTCTAGCCTTGTGCTCAGTTTTAAAGGTTGGTGTTATCAACCGTAAACCCTTTGTCTCGTTTTTCGATTAGTTTAAGCTCGTTCTTAAGGCGGTCTGCACACTTAAGACCAAGTAAACATAAGCCGACGAGCCCTGAACCCTGAACCCTCAACATAGCCCATTTTCCTACAAACTGCAATCTCCAGCCTTTGGGGACTTAATCATAACACAGCTAAAGGAACAGTAGCCCTAACCATAAATCCTGAACCCTAAGTCGTCCAGCTCGGCGGCGTTGTCGGTAAGATAGAGGCCTTGATGATTAGACTAGGGCCTAGGACTTTGGTGTAGACTATACTAGATTACAATACCTGGACCCCGAAAGTATGCAGGCCCCTGCACCTCCTCATGCCCCAACCCTAAACCCTAAACCC